CCCAGGATGCCATTGGCCTTCCTGACCACAATGGCATAGTGTTGGCTCATGGTCATCCTGCTGTCCACCAGGACTCCCACATCCCTTTCCCCTACACTGGTCTCTAGTAATCATTCCCCTACCTATACTGGAACCTGGGGTTGTTACATATAGGACATGTAACAAAAATAAGTGACCTTCTCAGGCAAAGGAGAACCAAGGGAGAGAGTGGTTAATATCTTCCAGACCTCCTAACTGGTTATGTTTTCATAGTACAACCCAGTGTTGTACCAGGGTATTTGAATTACTCTTCAGCAATTGTTTCCCATGAGGACTATACAGCCAGGATTCACTATGCTCTGAGCTGATGGTGACACAGCTCTGGTACCTCAAGTAGCTTGTGTACGTCCCCACCTCACTCTGCTACACTAGCCAGATGTTACCAGGAAGGAGCCTTTCAAGCTGACAGCATAGCGTATATACATGCAGATACGCTTAGACAATAGGGACCCAAGCTGGTACTACCTGGAAAAGTGATCCAGATTTTACACACTTCCAGAAAAGTGAAGCATTGCTTGGAAGAGTAGCAAAGATGCAAGGCAGTAGTAGTTAGGATGACTACTGCACTTTGTGACTTCCCATTCAGAAAATTACATGTTGTCTGTGATGGAAGGACAAGGTGGGAGGCAGCACCAGCTGGAGCTGTATTTTCTCAGTTGTGCATCTGACAGCTGCAACCAGATGCAGCTCAGAGACAGAAAGCACATGCTGTCATTCAGGGCTTTTAACATGAAGTATTTTTAATTGGGTTCATTATCTCTCTACAGAATGAAATAGGATGGCTAGAAATGCCCTAACCATAATCAAATATAAGACTTTGCAGGGGTCACACAGGTCTAGCTCACAGTGTGCCAGCAGCTGGCTGCCTCCTCTGCATTGTCACTTGTCTCATTCATTTACACCTGGGGCAACAGGTAATGCCCTATGACTTGTCACGCAGCCTCCATCACAGGTGGAGAAGCCTGGTTCCACAAATAATTAAACTACATGGGTCCATGCAAAAGTTATGTGTTCATTAGTACCATCGATATTACCAATGAACCGTCTGTCTTTCTCTGTAAAGTTGTACACATTTAAGAAGAGCTAGTTACTGGTAGTTCTTTTCACACCTTTTAGAAAACCCTGTTAACAGAGTCCATTAATAACGTCACACAAAATATTCATTATAATTGCAACCTTCCTGCCTTCTGAAAGCTGTTAATGCATCTAGGAACATTTTAGGAAACTGCATGCTGTAAATATATGTTCCATACTTTTAAAATGGAATTAATAGATCAAATATTATATTTTTTCTTTTAGATTTACATTTTTAGTTACATGAATTAATTTTTAGCTAAGCCCGTGTGCTATGATTTAATTGCTTTACAACATCGATAAGAGACAGTCATGACCTATATCACTAAAATTTCAAGTAATAATTACATTGCAATGCCTGTTAATTTTCTAAGAAATTGTTTTAGTTTCTTTGCCAAGAAGAGTTTGTTACATTAGAAGCAAGAAAGGAATTAATGTAATGTAATTTTACTAAGAATTAAAAAGACTGAATTGGAACTGAAGGCTGATGTGAACTTCAACCTTTTTGACATTTATTTGAATGAAGCCCGTATAAATGTCAAATATCTGCCAACACTATTTTCACATTTCAGGCAACAGCTTGTTTTACAATTTTCAGAGAGGACTGGAGAAGCAAGATTTTTTTTATTTTTTTTTAATTATAGTCATGACAAGAAATTAAGCATCTCCCTCCAAAGTGACAGGGGATGAAGAGAGAAATATGGAAGAGTTACCCCTAGGGTTTTAAAAATGACGACTTACTTGGCAACAGAAATTTTCAATTAATAGTGAATCACATAATCCTTACTCTTCATGTGAATCAGCAAAATATTTCTAATTTGAATATTTATCTTACATGGAAGCTGAGGACAAACTTGCTCAGTGGTACAGAGATAATATTTTGAATAGAGAACCACACTCAGAACTGTATACAGTCCATAGGCTTGGAAACAGCTTTGGCTCAGGAAAACATCTTCCATCATCTTTTTTCTCCACAATGTCAACATCACCTCACCACAACAAAGTAGAAGGATTACATATTTGGGCAAGAAAACCTATCTGATGAATAATTTCTGAGATGAGGGAGAAGCCACATGTGAAACCAAGGTTAAAGTTTTCAAAACCCCATTATTTAACCAGCAGACTGCTAATCAATACAAAACATTTTTCATAAGTATGAAAACAGTGGGATGCAAATATATTTACTGCCTAATCTGATTATTTGCCCAAACATATTATTCAGCTTTGTTGCTCCAGAGACGGGGGTAGTGGGGGGGGAAGAAATTCCTTTCAGTGAGAAGTTTGGGCTTATCTAGCATACAAACTCAAGACAGCTTAGATTAAAACCAATCAATTTTGTCATCAAAGTAATTCTGAAAGTATTCCAATTCAGTACCTGAAGTCAGATACAAAATAGTTATTTAGTTGTGTCTTTTGCCATGGGAAGTTTCTTCATAATAATCACATAGCACTATGTGACAAAGACAAAAAGTAGTCTCTGGGGTAGCAATAAAATCTCATTTTATATCATGATAGCATCTCTATTAAACAAAGGACAGAAACATCCCTAGAGGTGGCACTGTAAGCCACAATTTCTGGTTTTATACAAAGTTCTACATAGTAATTAAAATACTGTGCTTAAGATAAAGTAACATTTTATGCTACTTCTGGAATGTAAATTAATGTTATTCAACCTCAGCTTACTTCCTTTCTAAGCTCCCATTTTCCTGTTATACAACAGTTGTGTCAAACAAACAATTTAAAAGTATTTTTGCATGATGCATTTTGAACACTCCTTTACCTTTTGTAGACGGGTAGCCTGCACTTCAATTTAATAGTGTGCAGCAAGGACAGCATCACAATTAGTAACTAACATATTTGGAAAAAAAAAAGGGAATTTGTATCACTTAACAAAAAATACGTATAAGTTATAGATTTCATTTTAATTATTTAAGTGTTGTCTATGCAACCTTTTCTCTACCAATACTACATGCTAATATTCTAAAATGAATAAAGCTATAATCTTTGCTAAGCAACTAATAAAAGAAAATAAAGCTGCCAGAAGAATGGTAAAAGATGTGAAGTGAATGGTGTAATAATGAATGCTAATGGTTACTGATGAGTAATAGCAGATGTGTAAGCTTGCCATAATGTCTATGATTCAGTGTATTGATACAACTGGTTAAACTTTTTCTAAAAGTAAGTTATTAATTCCCTGTTAAGTTAATTACCTGTAAGTGTTTAGACCAAATATTTAAAATCTTTCTTCTGTTTTTCTTTTGGTAATTTAAGGACCTAAATTAAAATCAGTGCAACTGATCTAATTTAGAAGATCAGTTACTTGATAGATAAAAATACCTAAATGTCTAACAATGTCTAAATGATACCATTTGCACTTGCATTTTTATATTTGCACCTGGATAACTGTATATATGGGAAACAGAGGTCAAATTAAGGCCATGCTGAAGCCCAGGTCCATTGTATTATGCTTGCAGGATTCTCCTCAGAAGGAGCTTATTCCAAGCTGTAGCCACAATGGTACAGTATTACAAACCTACAAATACTGGTATCAAATATTATCACTATAAAGGGAAATTGTTTCTGGTCTCAAACATCCTTTTACAAAACAAGGTAACATATTTTTACATGCAGAACAGTGGAAGGGACATAATAATTTGCTTACCTGTGGTTGACCTGATAGTTGAGGTGATGTTGGAAGATGCCATCGCAGGTATACATTCATCATCCTGGGAATAGCCTGCCTGAATGGCACGCAAGTAACTGTGGCTTCTTGTTCGGAAACATCCAGGGAGGTCAAGGGCATCCATTGCCTGAGCTTCAACTTCACTAAACACTGATTCACACACCGATTCAAATTGCCCATTAACCTCTGCTTCACTCATCTGAATAAACAACAACAATGCATTTGATTTTTGACTTGCTTTTTTGTGATCATCACGGCCTCAACATCTCAAATGGACACCTGTACATTGATGAAGAACTGTTTTAGCAAATAGTTAAAATGTAGTAATCCCTTCTGATCACATTCACATTTTTAAACTTATATCAGCTGTTTATATGTATCTAGTAAGTACATTACACATGCCATACAATTAATTTTACATTTAATACCTTTTGGCATATTCAGAGGATTGTAATTACATTATTTAATGGTAACCAACAAGATCACTCTGTGCTGATAAAGATCCATGTTCTGCCAGGATAGGAAAATAGAATTCAGCTGTACTAATATTAGCCCTCAAAAGATGAGGGTGGATTGCTTGGGATCCTCACTTATCAGGAAAGTGGATACCCATGTGGACATTAAGCCTGTGTAGCAGGATATTATCCTCCTCTCAGTATCAAGGGGCCCAAGGAAGTATCTCATACTTGAAGATGTGTAAGTTCAGAGGAGGGGATGCTTCTGAAAGGTTTGAGAAATATTGCATCTAGAGTCGTGTCCAGTGAAGCATGAGAAAGAATAACCATTGTCTAAAATAGAAAAGTGGTCAGATGAGAAAATGGATGGACCACCTTGAGCTGAGAAGGGCCCCAAACCAAACTAATTCCCTGGTTAACTGGGTTAGCCATTCAGCTACTGTGGAAACATGAGATGCAGCCACTATTGCCGCCTTTTCTTCAGCAGCATTATTTTAAGTGTGATACTTTTGCCAGCAGGTGTGCTGAGGAGCCTTGCCTGCCGGAGCACCCTAGATGTGCCTACCTGCACCACCTACCAGGTTGGCCCCTTGGAGGATTTCAGCACCACCCTCCAGCTCCACACAGGGCTTAGGCAGGAGCCAGCATCTACCTGCTGACCCTGTCCTGCAGGTTGGGCATGATGCAAAACTAGAATCATAGAATGGTTTGGGTTGGAAGGGACCTTAAAGATCATCTAGTTCCAATCCCCCTGCCATCAGCAGGGACACCTTCCACTAGATCAGGTTGCTCAAAGCCTCATCCAGCCTGGCCTTAAACACTCCCAGGGAGGGGGCACCACAACTTCCTTGGGCAACCTGTTCCAGTGTCTCACCACGCTCACAGTGAAAAACTTCTTCCTAATATCTAATCTAAACCTCCCCTCTTTCAGTTTAAACCCATTTCCCCTTGTCTTGTCATTAGTTGCCCTTATGAAAAGTCCCTCCCCAGCTTTCCTGTAGGTCCCCTTCAGGTACTGGAAGGTCGCTATAAGATCTCCCCGGAGTCTTCTCTTTTTCAGGCTGAACAGCCCCAACTCTCTCAGCCTGTCCTCATAGGAGAGGTGCTCCAGCCCTCGGATCATCCTGGTGGCCCTTCTCTGGACTTGTTCCAACTGGTCCATGTCTTTCTTATGTTCATTTTTTAGGTAGCTTTCATGATAAACAGGGTTTAGGCAGGCTGGCCAGGCTTAGGAAACCTCTCGGTAGGGAACTGCATATTGCAGTTTTGAAGATGAGTGTCTAAATTCCACCTAGATAACTTCTCTGAAGTCAGCCCTAACTACCTGTAAATATACCTGAATAATTCAAAACTACGTTTATCAGAAATCAGATAGGAAGTTAACACTGGACAGACAAATGCATGACCTCCTGATAATATTTTTTTTAAAAAAGAGAGTGCTAGAAATCAGAATCAGTATAAATACCGACTTAAATTTGTAGCATCACTAAACAGCACATCCAATTACTTTTCCTATACAGCTACTAAGTGCATTTTTCATTATTACAGTTCCTAGTACATTATTCATTATGGAAACAGAGTGAGTGGAAATGTTTCAAATGTTTTAAGATTTTGATTAAGTAAATGGAAATTTCATGTGGAACTTCTGATGATAATGAATAACTGATATTTTAATTTCATGTAAGACATTTTGGCCACTAAATCTCTTCTGAAAGGAATTACATTACCCTTCATAAAATTTACTTCTAATAAAGCTAAGTAGACTAATGCAATCTCAAAAAGATTAAAAAAAGAATCTTACTCTGAAATATTTTGCATACATCATTGATCAGGAAATTTATGGTAATGTAGTCCATAAACACTTTAAGTCTATCCACTTCTTTCAAATGAAGGTCATTGACAATAGAAAAATAAAAGTTTTAAAGCTTAAATTAAAAATATAAACCATGGAACTCAGCATTGTTCTTGACTCTACTCTTGGTCAGGAGTGAAACAGAAAGGATCTCACCAAAGAAAAGGCATTAAAAATACATCAAATCATACAAAAAAATACTACAAATCATACAAACTGCTAAAATGTGGATGGGACAAGAAGATGATGGTGTCATGGAAAAAAGAATAGGAAACAGCAAAGGTTCAGAACTTGTTATTTTAATACATTTACTTTGTGTAGTATCTATTAAATGCATTTATTACTGGTCTGGAAACAGCTGGACTGTAAGGCAGGAAGTATGTAGTTGACACAAAATTACATAGGTTAGTGAAGACTGAAAAAGAAAGAAAGAAATTATAACCAGCAGGTTTAGTTAATCTGGCCAATTGAGCAATCCACCTGCAAATGAAACCTATGGTGGACATCTCTCCAGGTAATGCACATTGGAATGAAGAATTCTAACCACTGCTGAAACCAGTTAGTCAGTATGGACAGCTCAGTGAACATCTCCGTGCGCAGACATGGTCAAAGAGGCAGAAGATGTTAGAACAGTTCTGTATCACAGCATTGTTAGTGACAGCCAGCAGCACTTGCTTTGAATGCAGAATCTAATCCTTGTGAAACTTTCTCAAACAGAGATTGTTATAAAATTAGAAAACAACCAAACCAGGGTAAAGAAAATCAAGGCATGAAAATGATGCGGACAGGTTTCACAAGGGAGTTGTGAAATATAATGGATGGTTTGGAAAATGACTGACTTTCTAATTCTGATGTGTGCTATACAAGATTAAACTTAGATTTATCCCACATAAATGAAGGAATATGACTGAAGGGTATTAGTGAGGTGACTAGTCCCTCCCAAATCTCTACAGTCAGTGGAGACTGACAAGCACTTCCAGAGGGCTGTCAGATCGTTTGGGACGAGCATAGCCCTGGAAAAAACCCTTTCACTCCATTAACTACAGAGAAATCTTTAGTTGTTGCCTCAGTTAAAAGCCTCAAGTTAAATGAGTTGAATCCAGGCCTGAATAGCCATGTAATACAAATTAAATGTGAATGAATATAAAATTGCTTAAAAAATATTTTTTTTAACATAACTGTTGTGCATAATTAGCTACTATACCCTTACGTGCCTCACTGAACGGTCAAAGAAAAATAAAGTAACAACTGTCTGAGAGATGGCAGGGCCCACCTGTCATGAAGCAACACAGGGAAGAAACGTCAGGAGCGATACACATTACAAACATTGGAAATTTTATGTAAAGTCCTCTGCTAAACAGAACATACATGTACTTCATAAGGCTGCTTGCACTTCAGGCCTGATTCAGATCTCACTTCAGCCTGAATTAGTACTAACTAACCAACATAAAATCAGCAGGGTGGAAAAATGTCTCTTTTTGGAAGTCCCCATACATAGAATAATTGATTGGACTTATTCTTTCACTGAAGAAGAGTGAGGGATTGAGTTCAGAGACGAATCACTGCTCCTTTGTACCATAATTGTTTCAATCTATATCTTATTCTGGCAACCCACATTTACTGAAATCAGAGTAGATATTTTCAGAGGATGAGTATTGTAGAAGTGTGCCCCTTATGCTCAATCTGAATCTTCTTAACATTTAAATATTTAATATAGAATGAAAATTAAAATATCAGTATTTATATTTTTAATGAAAAATGCATGGAAAATGTTATGCGTGATAATGTCCCTTTGCTTCTAGCATTCAGTATTTTTCTTGAAATTTTGAACAAGGGTTACATTCCTTAGAACTGAGTTACTTGGACAATTCACATCCTCAGTTTCATATTAATTAAAAAAAAAAAAAACAAACCCTAAAACCATCCACTAGTAACAACTCTCGCATCTGTGATTAACCTATAAGAAAAGTTATAACAAGAATTTCCCACCTGACTAACACAGCTGGCCTGACTGAGCGTGCTCACTGCTCTCATATAGCTCTGATTCCTTGAGCGAAACTTTGGGGAATTGTAGTTTGCAGAGGGATCCAGGTTGTGACCCCCAGGCACGTCACTTGCAGTTTGAAGGTAGCTCTGACTACAAAGGAAAGAGGAAGAAAAAAGGAAAGTGTGTAAAACTACAGATGGAATCAATTAGGACACTAAGACAGTAATTTGTATGAGACTCACAAATCCATTCCCCAGGGTCAAAATCTCTCTCTGTATAAAGCATCATAGACCTGTTGTAGTCAAACGCCTTAGTACAAGCAGAAAATCTGTCTGCAGTTCTGCTACCTAGATGACATGAAATTTGAAGTCTTTGCTGTGCTTAAACATCATCAATCCTCCTGGCTATTAATGTTGAACTTTACTAAAAGAGGAATGTCTAGGTCAACAAGAACAAGAACCAGTGCTGAAGCATAAACCAAAGTAACTAAAAATGTTTCTTCATAGATAAAATCTGTTACTTGTCATCTGTATTTCATCACGGTATTAGGCATCAAGAGACCTTTTCTCTTCAAGGGATTTATATATTTTTACAAAAGATCAAAATATCCCATGTTCAGCTAAAAAAAAATAGATTAATAAGGTACTCAGAGCAATTGCATGAAGCTCTAGAAACGCTTTTCTTACAACACACCTCCCAGTTTGGAGGACTGGGACCCTAACACCACACCGAGCCCCTTTCAGTATGCTTTCAATGTAAGGTTATGTTAATGTTTTATGCCAAACATATTGCTTAGCTATCATTCCAGGAAAATAAAAGGAGCCTAAGAGAAGAACTTAGCTTTGAATACAATTTTTTTTTTTTTTTTTTAAAGTTGTGAATGAGAATTCTCAACCAGAATTCTCAGAACCTCTGAAAATCAGATTTTAGGAGCGGTGTGACACTTGTCCCCAAACAGCAGTGCAAAAATTAATTTACGTTTCAGCAAATGTTGAGTTTCATGTGGTAAACAGGCATTTTTCATATTTATTCCATAAAGGTAGCTCTAACAAAAACACAGTTTCTGGGAACAATTGATTTGTGACAGTTGAGTGTCTATCAGTATTGGCAATGTAGCTATTTGATGCTGAGCTGGCAGAGTCACTCAGTGCAGCTGTGGTTGGGACAAGTGCCTGGGCTGTCAGGAATTTTCCTGGGAAAGGGGAAGTTTCCTCTCTGGAAGGACCAGACCACTCAGTGAGTGAGAAAGCCACAGGTTCTACTCCTGGTGCAAAATGAGGCACAAACCAGGACCTTGTTTCTTAGACCATACCTATCAAACATTGAGCGTGACCACAGGCTAGTGCTTGAGGAAGGGCTCACACTTCCAGGACACAACCTGAATTTGGGCTTGAAGCAATCCCTGAGGAGTACTCAGGGAGGAATCTCAGACCTTTTGTCATGGCTGTGACTACAGCAGAAAATAGTGCTGAGCTTCATCTCCATGTGTGGCCATGTCCTTTGATGTCAGACATGTGAGATGACCCAGGGTCCCTCACATCACCAGCTGGAAGAGCAGAAGGGATTTATAGACCCCCTTGATGTTATACTTGGGAGATCTGTTCTTAAGTATTTCCATATGTTCTTCCTGGTTTGGCCACCTCAGGACCAACACAGACATAGCCTTGCTTCCTCAGTGCATCTGACAATGGCTGACCTAACTGTTTCTCTAAGATGGGCTGCCACCACCTTCTTCTTTAAAAAAGGACAGGTTTTGTTTTCATCTTGGTGCAAGGCAGGCATTTTATTTTTTAACTCTTAAGAAAATTCCCTGGAGGACAAATATTTTTTCTTCTGTCTTTATTCTGTGCCTTCTATGGAATAACCGTAACCTTAAGAGAGAGGTAAGCTGTGTAGAAACTATGCTGTAACTGCTAAAACCAAAATGAAAATGTATGAGACTTACACAGGTATGTGATCAGAGGTTAATTAAGTCATTATCGTCAAAGTGATGTGCAGATTAAGAGAGCTGTCTGATAGTGGGTCTAATTTGGTTTTAGATGATGAAAACGAGAACTGTAGCAGCATTTTTTTGTTCCCACGGGTATGAAGACAAATATAATAGATTAGGTGAAGTGGTGTAGAGCCTCTTTATCTATATTTAGTTGCTTGATGTTACTAAACCTCCTTTCCTCTATAGGAAGCAGGCCGATGACTGTCACCCACTTTGTGTCATTCTGATTCTTTCCATATGCTTTACTAAATCTGTCTGCTAATTTAGTATTTTTCACAACACTTAGATGAGTTCCCTCTGGAACCTCTGCTTGTCATCAGGTAGTAAAATCTGTGATTCTGAGTTCAGAAGTACTTTGTGAAAGAGACATTTAAGTTTTCTTCATTAAAACATGGGTCACATAAAGAAAAGATAGAGGTAATAGAGTTAAATTATAAATTATTAATTATTTTATAAACTACTTAAAAATTAATTTAAACTGGCTTCTAATAACTGTCTCCTTTGCTAAGTAATGCTCAGCAACCTAGTATTTCATTCGCTTTGTGAGGTATTGCTATCACTAAATACAATCAACAATTTTTACAGTAATA